AAAACGTGCGGCGCTGGGGGAGGGGAGCAGATGGGGCGCTCACACCCACACTCACGTCTGCACACCCTACAGTCGCAGCGCTCCCCGCGGCCCGGAGGGGCCGCTCACACCCTGCTCCCCAGCGTGCTGGCGGCCCAGCTCGATCCCCGGCCTCCGCCGCCCGGGCCCAGCTGGAGTTCGCGGGTAGCAGGTGGACGTGCTGACGGGAACCTTTGTGTGCTTCGCTTTCAGAGAAAGATAAGAGCCAGCAGGGAAAGAATGAGGACGTGGGCACCGAAGACCCGTCCAAGAAGAAGCGGCAACGGCGGCAGCGCACTCACTTCACCAGCCAGCAGTTGCAGGAACTGGAGGCCACTTTCCAGAGGAACCGCTACCCGGACATGTCCACGCGCGAGGAAATCGCCGTGTGGACCAACCTTACGGAAGCCCGAGTTCGGGTAGGACCCCTGGCGGAGCCTGGGAAGGCTGGGAAGGAGGGCACTGCAGACGCGCAGGCCGCGTAGCCCCGGAGGGAGTGGGGAAGGCGGCGTCTCCCGGGGGCGCGGGTGGTGTGGCTTTGCAAAGGCAGAAGGGCCTCTCTCGGCGGCCGGGGCTGCGAGGTTACAGCTCCCCCTTACGAGACCCGCGGTAGGCCCCGCTCGGCTCGGGCGCCCCGAGCGCCCCCGGCTCACTGCCCCGTCGCCCCGAGCCCTGCCGAACTGGGCCGCGTGGCATCCCCCTGCGCAGGGTATTGTGTTCGCGGCTTGCAGTCGCCAGGCGAGCGCTCATAAAATCCCCCCCAGGCCAGGAGGCGAGAGCAGGCTCCAACCTGTGCGCCTTTAACAAGGAATACCCGCCGGAGACAGGCAAGGTTTGGTCCTCCTTGGGGAACTTTCGCGCCCAGCCTAGCCCGGCCTTTTCTCTCCACCCGGCTCATCCTCCTTACATAGGCTTTGAGGTTTTTCGGCCATTCCGGTCTCTCCCACACCCTGTCCCTCGGTTTTGTTATCTACGGAAGCAGTTTTGTTACACACCTACTATCCTGTTAGTTCTCTTAGAAAGAAAAGGAAGAAAAGAAGAGAAAGGCTTTTCGGTTTGGTTTATTTATCTTTTCTCAGGAGATTGTTACTCATATCCTTCTTTCCAATAATAGCTTTTTTTAAGGGGGAGGGGTGGCTTACCTTTGTAGCAAATCGGTACTTTATGGATTGGCAAAAGTGAACATAAATGAATTACCCAGTAGCAACATCCTGGTTTATGCTGGTCAGTGGAAACTCCAAACACGTTAGGATTCTGGAAGCAGAAACATACATAGCAGGATCCAGGGGCTTTGCTGTTAAAAAAGAAAAAAAAAAAGCTCTGGATAGAAAAATAGAGCCCCCAGTTACAGCAGAGAAGAAAGAAGAAAATACTATATACAACAATAACGATGAAAAAATAAAGACCAAAATGCTTTCCCAAAGCAGAGGGAATGAAGGCACTCTCTGGGTGGCATTTGTGTAGGATATGAGGCTATGCTGGTGGATAACAGCCCGGATGAAGCTGAAAATGGTTTTAGTTTAACTGCTCAGAGTTAGAACTCTTGCTCTCAGGCCGCGTGGTTTTAGGCAAGGTCAGTCTTTCATTAGCAATCCTGCGCATCAGGGAACAGGACTTGCACGTACTCTTCTTGCCTGGGCAGAAGTTTAGACAGCGGCCTAGGGTGGAAATAGCAAGTAATTAAAATAACACAATCAGTGGGTTCTCTGGACTCCTTCGGAAAAGATTTCTTCCTATCCCCTGCCTCCAGCCCTGCGGCTTTTCTGCAAGCCCTCCCAAGTTCCCCCGCTACCACCGTGCTGGGCTGTCGCTCCCTCAGGCTGCCTCCTTCCAGGCCCGCCGCAGGTCCAGCCAAGTGGGAGTGGAGCGTGCTTTTTTATAACAGTCCGGCGCAAAGAGGAAGGGGGATAAAAAGGAAATCAAGAATGAAAGGGAAAAGGAAAAAAAGCGGATTAGGCGGCTGGGCCCGGCTGAGACGTGTAATGTGAAACATCACCGATGTCAGCTCTGAAATCTGGGGCCAGGCCTCGCTCCAATACACAAAAGCCGCAGTCTGCGGCGGCAGGCGGGCCGATGTGGATTGAGAGAAGGGTTGCGTCGGGGCCACCGGACGCGGGTGGGGGCTGACCGGGTTAGGCGGCTGCTTGAAAAGCCCAGCAAACTGTCTGGACCCGGCTGGAGCAGCGCCGGGTGAGGGGCCTGGCCTGGAGTGGGTGGAGGGTGAGAACGAGCCGAGAGGAGGGAGGAGGAGGCTGCCGAGCGACCTGGGTTCCCAGAGATTTCCCAGCCAAGCTCGTGGAGTTAGGAGGCTGAAGGAAAGGCGGTCTTTTGCTTTTTAATTCGTTATTTTGCTAGGCGAGGATGGGGGTCGCAGCCTAGCGCCAGTTGCCAGAGCGTGTAGTGTGGAGTGGGGGGGGGCGGCGGGGGAGGTCTGAGACGGGAGGGAGGAGCTGTGTGACAGAGAGCCCCCCTCCGGTGCCCTCTCAGCTCCCTTGTTCTCATCACTGTGTCTATGGGAAACAAGTTTGCAAGGCGGCCTGGTAAGGGTTGGGCAGAAAACCCGCTGAACCGCGTTTATTTTACAGTAAGTGTTTTTGGATCTTGAGGAGGGCCTGGGTTAGTGAACAAGCTGCCCACAGGCCGCCAGGTGTTAGACTGGGGTTTGTGGCACAGTTCAGAGCCTGGGCTCGCAGGCCTCACCTGGCCAGGCCGCCCTCTTTTGGACGAGATTCAGGCAGCCCGGCCAGCGGGGTGGTAGGGGGTTGGAGAAAATGTGGAAGCCTGAGTGAGTGCGTGTCTCCCCCTGCCCCCCACATACGTGTGTATGTGTGTCTTGGTGGCCAATGGCCTCTGGTGTTCTCTGGGATCAAGATTTTACTAATCTGTTCTGTGGCATCTGTTTGCTCCCTTGCCTTCCACCCCCAGGTTTGGTTCAAGAATCGCAGGGCCAAATGGAGAAAGCGGGAGCGCAACCAGCAGGCCGAGCTGTGCAAGAATGGCTTTGGGCCTCAGTTCAATGGCCTTATGCAGCCGTACGACGACATGTACCCCGGCTATTCCTACAACAACTGGGCCGCCAAGGGTCTCACGTCAGCCTCCCTGTCCACCAAGAGCTTCCCTTTCTTCAACTCTATGAATGTCAACCCCCTATCGTCGCAGAGCATGTTCTCCCCACCCAACTCCATCTCCTCCATGAGCATGTCGTCCAGCATGGTGCCCTCAGCTGTGACCGGCGTCCCGGGCTCCAGCCTCAACAGCCTGAATAACTTGAACAACCTGAGCAGCCCGTCGCTGAATTCCGCGGTGCCCACGCCTGCCTGTCCTTACGCGCCGCCGACTCCTCCGTACGTTTACAGGGACACGTGTAACTCGAGCCTGGCCAGCCTGAGACTGAAAGCAAAGCAGCATTCCAGCTTTGGCTACGCCAGCGTGCAGAACCCGGCGTCCAACCTGAGTGCTTGCCAGTACGCCGTGGACCGGCCGGTGTGAGCCTCGCCCACAGCACCCGGATCCTAGGACCGTGCCGGATGGGGCAACTCTGCCCTTGAAAGACTGGGAATTACGCTAGAAGGTCGTGGGCACTAAGGAAAGGAAGAGAAAGAAGATATAAAGAGAAAAGGAAACCACTGAATAAAGAGAGCTCCTTTGATTTCAAAGGAATTTCCTCAATGTCTGACATCTTTCACTAAAAGTATTTCCAACAGTTGCAAGGACACACACAAATGTTTGACTGGATATGACATTTTAACATTACTATAAGCTTGTTATTTTTTAAGTTTAGCATTGTTAACATTAAAATGACTGAAAGGATGTATATATATCGAAATGTCAAATTAATTTTATAAAAAGCAGTTGTTAGTACTATCACAACAGTGTTTTTAAAGGTTAGGCTTTAAAATAAAGCATGTTATACAGAAGCGATTAGGGTTTTTCGCTTGTGAGCAAAGGAATGTATATACTAAATGCCACACTGTATGTTTCTAACATATTATTATTATAAAAATGTGTGAATATCAGTTTTAGAATAGTTTCTCTGGTGGATGCAATGATGTTTCTGAAACTGCTATGTACAACCTACCCTGTGTATAACATTTCGTACAATATTATTGTTTTACTTTTCAGCAAATATGAAAAATGTGTTTTATTTCATGGGAGTAAAATATACTACATACAAATCAGTCTGGATTCTTTCTGCCCTCCTCTGTCGCCTGGCCAGGGTTTCTCAGTCACTGCTTCCTAAACAAACCAGTACCCTCTGCCTGCCTAGTTAAACACACAAGGCAGCAGGACTTATTTAAATTTGGTAGAAATAAATTATAGTCATTCATCAGAAACTAAAAAGAAAAAGAAAAGCCACTCCCAGGGAAAAAAAAGGGGGGGGGCTGCAAAGTCTGGTCTTGTCTCCCTGATTTTTCTTTGGTTTAAACCCAGAGTATTCCATTATTGCTAGCAAATACTATAAGAGAAAAAGAAGAAAGGAGAAAGAAATTTAGAAAGTATGTCAGGTTGGAATGACTCTCAAATATACTTTTTTGGGGGGAAGGTCTCCACATCCAGTAAATTGTTCTGGAGAATTATGTGTGTATGTATACATGTACAGTTTATATACAGTCCTCTCAAGACGAATACATCTATAATAAGTTTACAAGGAAACACCTCCAGTTCAAAATATTTAGGCCTCCACGTTTATCTTTCAGGCTTAAGTAGAGAGATTCTTCATGTTATATTGCATTCTATTTCCAAATCCTTTCGAGACATTAAAAGAAACAAAGGCCATTTCTAATAACTACAGCCCTTTTAGTTTCCCAAAGAGCCCAGGGGTTGAGAGGTTAGAGTGGAGTTTCCTGAGTCTTGTCGAGCAATATGTAGTTGAGGCAAAGGTCATGCTCCCCGTGTTTTGTTTTAAATAATATTGACCCATTAATTCTAAACCTGCTTGTTCCTGAAATTATACAGGATTATGGTTTGCAAACTGCGGGACAATGAAGCAAATCAAGATGAATTACAGCCCTGGCCCTCCCTCCCATCCTCTGACATCTAAACGGGGAAAGAGATCGGTGTGAGTGTTTAAAGGAACTTTAAGCACCCGCTCTTCCTTTGTTGGTGGTTTTCAGCTTTTTTTTTTTTAATGTGAAATTTGATTTCGTAACAAATCGTAGCAAATACGACTTAGTCCGAAGGAATTCATTACTGAGGCTCTGGGGGAGAGGGGGGTGAAGGGTAAATCCTGAGGTCCTTTGCAATTCTGGTCACCTCCTCCCCCCAGTGGGCGAGGACAAACACAACCCTGGGGAATAAGGAGCGAAAAGTAGCCAGCAGTTTTCTGGAGCCGAGAAAACCTGTGTTTTTGCGCTTAGGTTACTTTTATCTGGCTGAAACTTTACCTAGAAGCTTTTGAGGCTCAGACGCGGAGTCTTTGTTCTGCATGGGACTGCTGCTGCCACTTACAGAGATCGCAGATAACGTCCCCGATGTGAGATCAGTGCGCAATGCACATTAACTTTTTTTTTTCTTTCTTTTTTAAGCTCTGCCTCTAACCTACCGAGGGATCACGCGGCAGTGGGGGGCAGATAAAAGCCCTTTGGCCGAGGGTCACCTCCGTCCTTGTTGTTCACTTGAGAGCAGTGGAGAGGAAAACGGTCCCCACGGGCGGACTTTGGCTTCTGGAGCCGCGCAGCCCAGCGGGCCGGGCCGCCCGGAGCTCCGCCCGGTATGGGGGGGAGGGGCGGCGGGGGGCAGGGAGGGAGGGGACGGGGAGAGGGGATTTGGGGATGGGGGCTGGCAAGGCTAACGAGACCTGCTGGGAGGATTTGCGTCTCCTGCAGGTCCCAGAGCGTCTTGGGAGAGCTGGATGCTGAAGGCGGACCTCGGCCTAGTTCGCGGGCTGAAATAGAACTCGATTTCGAGGAAATCAATCAATCTGCAGAAAACAAAACAAAACAAAACAAAAATGGAAGTCGAGGTTTGGGAAGGGTTGTCTCATCCCCATCCCCAACTTGAGTGGTGCGCGCTGGGGGGCGGAGACTCAGGACTGCTCCGAAGCCCTGGCTCCCACCTCAGCTCCTCTCCCTGGACTTCCCGAAGGAAGAATTACCCTCATCACCCCCCAACCCCCCCGCCCCCCACCCCCCGCCTTGATCCTCACACCCATCCCCGCTGGCCCGCTGACCCCTTCCCGCACCTCTTTTCCCTTCAAGTGAGAAAAGCCTAGCTCCCGAGCCGGCGGAGTCGTTCCTCTCGCCCCTCCCGCTCCCACGCGGGCCCCCCTCCAGCCATCGCTCCTGCCACCACCTCGGTTCCACTCAATCGATTTTTGCTGCATGTCAACACTTATTACCGGTGAGTGTGAGGGTATTTTTTCTCCTTCTCCAGGTCTCTTAATGATTTCTGAGCTAGTTGTGTATTAAAGTGCTTAAAGGAACCTTTAAGGTAATCTATAGCGTGAACAGCAGCCTCCTCCGCGGGGGATCAAAGATGGCGAGCGGGAGGTCGGGCCCCCAGGAGCCCAGGCTCGCAGGCCTCAGCCCCCTGCCGCCCTCCTCTGCGCCCCGGGAGGCTGGGGACGCGGTGCAGAGGGCAGAGGCCCCACACCGCCAGGTCGCCCTGCCCTGCCCTCGCCGCGCTTTCTGCTCCCTCCCCCAGCAGCCCCCCTCACCTGTCACTCGAACCCACCCTCCCGCCAGCCCTGGGCTTTTTAAACTTTCCAAACGCCTAAGGCCTCCAACTCCTCATTCCCCGAACAGCGAATTCAGATGGGGCGGGGGGGGGGGGGGGGGGGACCTGGGAAAAGGTGCCTGTGGCCCACGTTTGTCTCCATTGCCTCCCAGTTCCTGAATCTTGAGTTTTCACTGCCCATAAGTTGGTTAGAAATTTAATTTTAAAAACTCTGTTAGGCAACCTGAGCCGCGTGGGCGGTTTGATTAGGAGGCAAATCCTCCCCTTCGCCTCCCGGCCCTGCTCTTTCTTCCACCGCCCACCCTCGGGCCCCGGGAGGTGCTGAACCCCGCGAGTGCCTCTAGGAGCGTAACAACAACAAAAAGAATGGGAGAAAGATGAAGGGCATCTTAAAAGTCCCAGTATTCCTCGAAAGCCCCACAAATTAACCCTGTGAAGAGCAGCGGACCCTTTTAAGGCGAGTCTAGAGAGACCTGGCGGCGCGTTGCCGAAAGATACCACCCGCCCCCCCCCAGCTCCCTCCACCCGCGTCGCGAATGTGACCAAACAAAGGTCCGTCCTGCAATCCACATCCTAATCCACGGGCGCCTTCGCCGCCGTCGCCGGGGCTCCCCAGCCTCCCGCCCGCTGCTGTCCGTCGACGCGGGCTACTCTGGGAGTCCCGGACTCGCCGAGCTACATATATTTTTTTTTTTTTTTTTTTAGAGAGAGGGACCAAAAACAAAAACAAAACAAAAACAAAAAGAAAGAAAGAGAAAAAAGAAAAGAGGGTGAAATCAGATCAGATGTCTTTCTGAATATAGAGTCCGTATTGATTGATTTATTAACACCCCACCCACCCTCCACTCCCGGCAAGCAGCAGTTAATTTAAGCACAGGGAGAAGCAAGATACGCAGCTGATTGAGGTAGGAGAAGTAAACACGAGAAGTTTCTTATAGCAGATTTTCAGAAGGAAATTTTTTTAAAACTACCCTTCCTGGCCCAGCGTCCCTAATCTGACAATTCCATTTTAACTGAATTTGAGAAAGTGATAATTGAAGAAGAGAGTCTTTAAAAATAAGAACATGGTTCCGTAGAAATCTGATTTTAGAGACATAACTAATTTTCTCTTTCAGATTTTAGCAGATGACACCAGGAAGATTTTTACTCTAATCTTAAAAGTTTATTTATCACCCTGCTTCCCAACCCCCCCTTCCCCGCCCCCCACGAAGGGGGGCCTTCTCATTGTTGACATTCTATCTGAAAAGATAGAATTCAGCATTTGTTGTGTTTGAGATGTATAACTTTCATTCACTTCTTGCTGAGTATTTTATGCTCTTATCTTATGTAAATGTAATGTTATAGATTTTGTTTGAAGATTAGAGAAGGCTTGGAAAACGTAAAATATGCCATTGAAGATGTATTTAATTCTACTTAATTGCCTTTAGAAAAAATCATTGCTACTTCTGTTGTAACGTGTATTATAGTTCAGTGGCAACTGTGGAAAACAGGAGATAGTAGGAACTTAAATTACTCAGTAAAAAAAAAGACAAAAAACTATATAAATTCCTTTCTAAAAACTTCAAAAAACATTTAATAAATGTACGGTAAAGGTGTTTATTTTTGGAGGGTTGTATGAGGGATTGCTTTTTTTTTCTTCCCTTCTCTCTGAAGGGCTAAAAGAAGTGGAGAATCATTGGGTCCTGGCTGAGCAGGGTGTGTGTCTGCAACTTCTGACTTTGATGGATCTTTCCAGACCTAGTTTAAGATGCTCCCCCCATCCTTGCCCTGTCTTCCTCCCTGCCCCTCATCTTCTCCCTCTTCTGTTTTCTTTATCCACTCCAAAGTTTTCTGTTCTTTTTTCTTTCTTCTTTTCTTTCTCTTTCTTTCTTTCTTTCTTTCTTTCTTTCTTTCTTTCTTTCTTTCTTTCTTTCTTTCTTTCTTTCTTTACATGTTCTATCAACTTAGAAAATGGGCCTCTTATGCTGGGACCTCATATACCAGGGCTAAGGCTTAGTTAGCAGAGTTAGCCCTTAGAGCCCCAGGACACTCTTCTATCAATGCGTCCTCCGTCCAGAAGTAGCAAAGCTTTTCTGTCTTCGACAACAGTTTGCAGCAGCGCTGGACCCCCTGGCACGCAGTCCTGGGCAGGAACCCTTATCTTTGTAGCTCTGGCGAGATGAGACCTAGAACAGTCTCAGCTGCTCCTGAGAAGGCGAGCGGGGCAGCATACCGAATGTGACTTGGTTCCCGAACTAGCGGCAACCCAGTTCTTGGGCTCTTTCCCCATTCTGCTTGTGTTAGCAGCCCCCTCAACTCTGCTGCTCTGAGTATCTGGGTGGGATTGCTGCACCCAGTTGAAGCTCCATGGTCTCTATCTCTGTCCTACGGAACGGACTAGCGGGGCCTTCTCAGGCGTCACTTAACGCGGCTACTTGCGTTTGGCTAACGAGTGTGTCTGATTTCACGCGGCAGTATGCGGGCATGGGTTGGGGGACGCTGATGGGGACAGAAGTAGAGACCCTGCGGGCCATCCCCGGTGCCCAGGAAGGGGCTTTACCTGCCAGAGCCCAAGGCGACAGACGACAGGTGGCTTTGTTAGAAAATCATATAATATCAAGCAAAAAGTAAAATAAAACCCTTCTTCTGGAGGCCTCGGGCAATGTTCATTCACAGTATTCTACTAATCTCAGCGCCTCCAGCCCTCGCTTAAAAATCCGTGAAATCGTAGGAGCCACTCTTATCTGATGAGGCAGGGTCTTGTTTGTTTCTTTGACAGAAAAAAAAAAAAAATCCCGCCTGCGAATTCTAGGCTGCTTGCTCAGGGCACGAAGCTCTCCTCCCCAGCCCGGAACCTCCTTTTCCCGTGCAGCAGCCCCCTCCACCCCCGCCGGGTCAGCTGCGCAGCTCCAGGGCCTGACAGTCTGGACATCTGGCCAGGACCTTCTGGACCCATCCATTCCGCGGGAGTCCAGCTCTTGGAAGGAGCCGAGGTGCCGCCGCTCCACCTGAACTTGCCCCCGGCGCAGGTTCGCCTTGGGCCTCACTGAAACGCCTGACACTGTAGCTGGGCCACCACCGTGCCTACCGCCTTCTACTGACCGGAACAGCTGCTTTATCTTAATGTTATTTTTTTTTTTTTTTTTTTTTTGGCCCGGCAGCAAAGGAGAAGATGGTGCAGCCGCGCATTACCCTGAGGATATTTTCAGAGGCTCCCGGAGAAGTGGTGGCTCAGAAGGCAACCTACGCACCTCCGAAAGGGGACCCCTTTCGTGTCCCCGCACTGTTGTCTGCACGTCCCTTGGGACAACCAACCCGGAATCTGATCCTCAGCTGCCGCCACGCGCCCACCTCCCTCTGGCATCCCCACCCCGCTGCTCCTCGCTAGCGTCGAAGCCGCGGCGCTGGGGCAGCACAGACCCGCCCCGGGGTCGTTCTGGGGCGCAGCGCCCGCCCCCGCGCTCCCGTCGCCCCCGCACGCGACGCTCCCGGGCCCGGGCTGCGGCGTCGTGGGCGGTCGCGGCTCCAGCCCGAGCACTGCCTCTTGGCTGCGCTTCAGGGACGCCTGCCGGGCCCGGGCCGCGGACCCGCTGGCTTCTCCGCGGTCTCAGAGGTGGCCTGGGGAGGCCCAGGCCGCAGGAGCGCCCAGTCCCCGCACCCACCCCCGCCACATCCCTCCTCACCCTCTCTCGGGCTTCCGCGCCTTCATTCCCGAGCGGCCATATACCTTGAATGGGTCATCCCTGCCTGCCTCCCTAGAGCTGCCTCTCGAAGCCCTGGGGTTGAACATTAACCAGCCGGAGCTATAGAGTGGGGTAAAACGTTACATATAAAAATGAATCATCTATCCGATCCTGGGAGAGAGGACCTATAGCGAGCTCTGCGCCTAGAGCTGCCCCGGCAATGTCCCCGGCCCAATGCACAGACCCTTCTGGCATCCACTTCCTAGGGACCTTTCGGCCGCTGGCGGCTGAAGTTGGGTGGAGGCGGGGGAGATGGAGGTTTTCGAACCAGACGTTCTCCTCGAGGAGCCTGACGTTTAGGCTTTCTAACGCAAGTGCATTTCCTCTCCTTTCTCACTCGAGGTACACACAAAGGTCTGGAACAGCCTTTTGTATCTTAACAAAGTTAGAGTAGCTGAAGTTGTTGGAGGAGAGGCTGCCCACATGCTCGAGAACCCAAGCTGATCCGTCGACTCCGGGGATCGGCCGCGAGCCCTGGCGCTCCGGATGCACCCTGCGAGGCAGGGCTGGGTGTGCAGAGAGTGGAGCCGGAGCCCTGCAAGGCGGGCTGGAGCCTGAGCGGAGGCGCAAGGTGGGCGGTGCCGGGGGCGGGGGTTGGGGGTGCCTGGCCTCCAGGCTGAGCCGCTAGGCACGCCCCGGCCAGAGATCCGGCCGAAATCCGAAGCTCCGATCGCACCTCCACTCCCCTCGCCTGGGCCCAGCCTGTTTCCCACTCTGACTTATTTCTTTCAACATAAGTACTGACTAGACCACACTGGCCAGTCAAATATGCAGAACTTATGAAAAGATAACAACTGGGAAAGAATTCAAGATAGTGCACCTCCTGAGTTCTTATGCCCTCACCTGAAAACATTGGCAAATCGTGGTGCTCAGCAGATCCCTGAATAGAAAAGTGATTCGGTTTCTGAATCTCTCACTCCCTCTGTCTAACCTCTCCTTTCCCTCCCCTACTCCATTCAAGAAAAGGGATAAAGTAGGTGCCAGCCAGAGAGAGATGTAATGTTCTATAAAGCTTTCAGAAGTTGCCAACCAACCTGCAGAATAATTGTCGTATTTCTTAAGAAGATTGGTTTATTTCTACCCAAAATATCTGCTTTACTCAAAACACAGTGCCTAGCCCATGATATCCTCTTAGTAAAGATTTCTTAAACAGATAACACCCCCGCTCCCCACCTCCACCTTGAACTATATCTCTGATCTGTTTATTGAAGCAGCATAATTTTTACTGAGAACATTCACTCAAACCTTTGTACTTAGGGGTGTGAGAAAGTGGCTGTGGTGGCATATGTCATGTCTTAGCTTCTTTAAAAACCACTTCTCTGGTATGTTTACAGCCTGTACAGTGATTGAGAGAATTTCTGGCAGAAGGTAGAGGATGGCAACAGGGACATTCAGGGAACAAGTTTTCAGAGCCTCAACAGGCATCAAGTGTGTGGTGAATACCATGTATTTGTATTAGTTGACTATTAATCAGTTCCAGGAGAAATAACTTTGAGTGTAAGATGTGGTTACTGGATATTCATCACTTGCAGTAGTTTCAATGCTCTAACTTCAGAGCATACAATATTCATGTGATTCTCATAAAGCAACACAACCCACGTTTGTCATCACCCAACTTCATGTTACCCCACATCCCCAAGAAAAATAGAATTGACTCAAATGTTCTACCAGTTAGCTCCCCAGAGGGAATGAACACATCAAATAAATTAAAAGATATGAGTCACACTCAGTTGCCCTGCAGTGACTTAGAGACACCAGAGAAACATAGGTAGGGAAAGGGCATTTACTTTTAAAGGTGCAGGTAGCTAGGGAAAGGGGTAAGATAAAGGGTATTTCAGTGCTCGCTCAAACGGTCTTCTCCCCCACCAAATTACTGTGTTATCTGACACTCTCAATCTATTTGTGTCCTGGGTAACAGACAGTTTGACCAAGAGGTCATAGACTAGAGAGCTTGGGTGATTGGAAACAAGTTTGACAAGAAAGGAATCTGGGTGAGGTGCCACCGTGGAGGTGGAAAGAAGATGAGGCCACATGGCTGGAGCAGCTGGCAACCCCAAGTCTCTGCTGGACTCTCTATTCCCATGCAATGCCTTGTCAGAGAACAGAGGGCTAGGAAGAGCTACCAAGACAACTTCATGGATGGGAGACAGTCATGTCTCTCTCTTCACATCCCTTTTCTTTACCTTCCCTTTGTTTCCTGCTATCCCCATGTCCTCCTTTCATTTCACCCTTCTACACCTTAGTAGGCTCTCTCCATAATTCTGGCTGCCCCTGGATTATCCTCTACTTGTCCCCTCTTCTGAATTAAGGCTTCACATTGTAGTGTTTACTCTTTCAGATATGAAAAGTTGTTTTATCCAGTCTACTTGTAAACCATTTGTATTCATAAATATGGAGTGCGTGTATGAATGATAAAGGTGTCAGGGCTGATAAGTAAAGCAGGCAACGTCGGAATATGTCTTTTCATAGCAACAGAGACTGTGAACATTCTTTTAACAAGGGCCCATTGCAAGCAGGATATCCCAGAAGGGTCAGTGAACACACTCCTTTCATCCCAGGCAGAGTTACCCTTGGCATTATGCCCCCCAATGTGGTAAAAATCTCAGTTCACTTTTCTGTTCTCAGCTTGGAAGCTCCTCTTTGCCTGAAACTACCAATTGTACACATTGTCAAAATTATGTGTTCTAAAGGAACACAGGATACAGTCCTATGCAGAGTTCATATGCTAATATGAGTTCCTTTCTGCTTCTCTCCAAACAAAGGTACTTATTTTTCTTGTGCTATATCCTATTGTTATTGGCTCAGCTGTACCTTAATGGTGATTTTTGTTCCTTTCATGGTTGGAAAACACCTTCATTGTCATCTTGCATTTTCAGATTAGAATTTAGAAAGATGTCTTCCTCCACAGAGGAGTTGCCCCATTTCCACCCTTCTTTGATTCCTTTTCCTTTCTGACTTCTTCCAACATCTCTTTTAGAGATAATTCTACTCTCACAATTCTCTCCCTTTTTACTTTTTAAATTTCATTTCTGGGCACTCAGTTGTTCCCATACCAGAAAACTATTTCTTGTCTATATTACTACTTTGTCAATTACCATATGGGATGTATTACTATGAGTTAAGATTTTGGGGTCATTTTTCTTTTTTTTTCAGATTTTATTTACTTATTTGACAGAGAGAGAGAGAGAGAGAGAGAGAGAACAAGGGCGCTCATGCACAAGCAGGGGAGTTAGGGGGGCAGGGAGAGTGGGAGAGGTAGAAGCAGGCTCCCCACTGAGCAGGGGGAGCCTAATGTGGGCTCCATCCCAGGACCCTGGGATTATGACCTGAGCAGAATAGCACTTAATCAACTGAGCCACCAAGGCACTCTAGGGTCATTTTCTTTTAAGCTTTTAGAGCCTGGAACCATATTTGCTAAATAGTAGGTGTTCAATAAATGCCTATTGATCAAATGGCATAAGTAAAACCTTTGTTCACTAAAATCCAAGTCCAAAGATATTAAATTCTATTGAATTAGCATGAATTAAATCTCAGATAAATTCTAATTCATTTCTAATTTTCTCTCAACAAATCAGATATGTAAAAGAATTCCATAGTAGAAATTTCATCTTAATCTTTTTTTAATCATCTCTACAATCATTTTTTATTCTATTAGAGCACTTTTAGGATAATGAATCATATCATATTTTTAGGGCGATGATGATCAGAGTTCATAAGGTACCGGACACATGGTAATATTTCTTAATAAGTAGCTTGGAAAATGTGTGTGGTGAGGGAGACAAAAAAGAAATGTATATGTGGAGGCTGGAGGAGGGGGGCACATAGGTAGGTGACAGAAGTGTCCAGCTTATAATATCAGAACTTAGGATCATTCTAATAGTTAAGAGATTATGATCTCCAGTCTTCACCATTATTTTACACTCTTAACAATTTAACTGTTAGTAATAAACAGTAAAATATAGTGCATCACAATATATGATGGGTAAAGTTGTTTTTTTCATTTTTGTGGTTAGCAATAAGGAACTTGAAAAGTTGAAAATGTTAGTCAACCCCAGAAAAACAAGAGTATTTTTTTAACAAGAGTATTTTTAAAACAATCAGACTTTAAAGTCATAGACCAAACAAACATTTTTATTTATGTTAATTGTTGCCCCATAAACCACTGATATTTTTTATTAATTTATCAGTAGCAAAATATTCCTTAGATCACTTACCCTATCCACTCCCACTTTCCAGCTGCTATCATAAACAAAAAACATATTTCACCAGAACAATGGGAAGATTGACATTACTTTTGATTAAACAAGTATGAAACATTTAATAAGTCTTGTTATATACCAGAAAAAAATGTTTTACCTTATTATGCTGAATAAACAAACAAACGAATACATATATGAGTAAGTTTATGTATGTAGGAGCTGGAATGGTAGAAAGTTACAATGAGGTAAATTTTGCAGTGCCTGTACGGTTTTCAAAATCCCATCTCTACTGAAGAAGCTCTAGTCCTGGCCTTGCTGTTTTTTAGAAGCCACTCTAGATTAGGCTGAGGATTCAAAGAATCAAGGAGGAGGATGACTGGGAAATTGCAAGATGTGACAGAGTAAATAAATTATCTTTGATTGGTTCAGGCACTGTAATCATCAATTAAAAAATTATCTACATACTTAAGAAGCAGTGGGCCAATATTATTTTCACAGCGCTCTAAATATATTTTTGCCATTATATTTGATCTGATTTTATGCATAATCTTTCCTAAACATAACTATTGAGTGATGCAAAAGATGTGACTTATTGAATATTTCTTTGAGCCAAGCACTGTGCTAAATGCTGTTCACGTATTATTTCAATCAGTTCTCACAACAATCCTATAAAATAGACACCTTTTTTTTATTTGACAGATGAGAAAACTGATACTCAATGGTGACTTGCTTCAGGCTACCTGGCCAATGGGTGGCAGACTCAGGTCTAGAATAAGACTCAAATCAGAAACAATCTGACAAGTGGTTCTCTCAACCACTCAACGAATGGCCACTGTGAAAGAATTTAGTGTTCTCTACCATTTTTGTTGACATTAGAAAATGCCATTCATAAAAGACATATAAAGGAAATATATTAAAAGTGCTATGAAAATCATGTTCCCTAGTTATTCTTTGAGATGATTGGCATTTGAAAAAATGATAATTCTAGTAACTGATACAATCAAGGGCAGATTTGTTCTACTCTTTCACATGTGTCTCAAGGTACATTTCCTAGACTGACGTAATAGGCATAACCTCTTAAGCTAATTTGAAATGTGACGTTTTATTTTATTTTTTAAAAAGTAACCTCTACCACCAATGTGAGGCTCAAACTCATGCTCCACGCTCAAGAGTTGCATGCACTTCCAACTGAGCCAGCCAGACATCCCTGAAACGTGATATTTTACATATGATAGGAAAAGGAGGAACCTCTTGCTAATATTAAAGAAAGAATTCACACACACACATACACACACACACACATCAGTTGGTATATGATCAAATGATTTTTCCTTGGTCTTGTACACTATGACCTGCTTCCTCCTTTCTTGCCTCTCCTCACCCTCCATTGTCCCTTTCGATACTAACTCTGTCAGCTTAGATATCCCTACACTGGAAAAGGATTCTCTGACATCTTGGCATTGATTAGGTCAGGGTGTCCCTCCTGTGTGCTCCCATAGCCATATCAAAACACGGGACACAGTTCCATGAACTTAACACTTTTGAAGATTATAGGTAAGTTATTTTGTAGAGTGTTTTTCAATCTGGTAGGTATGTGTGTGATATTTTTACGTGGTTAGATTCCAATTATGTATCTTTTATAATATTCAGGAATATCATAGAAATGATGATGCTGTGTTCTAAGCCACATAATGTACACTTAATATTTCACGATGTTACATTGCTTACTTGATTTAGGTGGCATCAACTAGCTTCTCTACTATATTATTACACTTTCTCTTATTGTAGTTAGTATTTCACAAGCATAAAATATTTCTTTATAGTGAGAAACTGAAGCCTCCTGCCAACAGCCATGTGTGTGAGATTGAAAGTGAATTCTCCAGTTCTCTGAATGACTGCAGTCCTGGCCAACAACTTGACCCGACACCTAAGCTGCTCCCAGATTCCTCACCCTCAAAACTGGATGAGATATAAATATTTATTGTTTTAAGATGCTAAGTTTTGAGTAATCTGTTACATTGCAATAGGTAACTAATTCGCTATGTATGTGCTTCCTGTCTTCCAAAACTTTTTGTCACTTTTCATCTGTTACAGTCTTGCCTCTTCTTTGCTCTTAAGGGTTCTCTCCTCCACTCTTTCTCTCCCTCACCCCCACCATTTTAATAGCATTTGGGAGAAAATAGAGAGAAATCTATTCAATTAGTCAAATTTTACCAGAAGTCCGAGGAAGTGAATCTTAAGCACAGATTTGAAGGAGGGAAAGGATAGGATTTAATGGTGCTGTTTAAGAAAAACATTTGAGATAGAAGAAATTTAATATAAACAGTAGGAGACAGAAAAATAAATTTATAGAAAATAATAAGCAACTGAAAAGATATTTTATTTCATATATAATAAATAAAATTCTGAATTTTTAGAAGTATAATTTTAAGAATATTTCTTTCATCTGCCCAGCATCACTCTCCTTTTTGAAACAAAAGTGTCTTCTTTTTGGAGGAAATGCTCTTCTCTTAAACTATATTGTTTTTTTGGTTTTGTTTTGTTTTGTTTTGTTTTTTAAGACTTCATTCATTTATTGGAGAGAGAGAGCACATGAGCGGGGTGAGAAGCAGAGAGAAAAGCAAACTACCTGCTGAGCAGGAAGCCAGATATGGGGCTCCATTCCAGGATCCTGAGATCATGATCTGAGCCAAACGCAGACACTTAACCGACTGAGCCACCCAGGTGCCTCATTAAACTATATTGTTTTAGTGGAGGCTGCCAATTATAAAACAGATCTTTTTGTTCATAAAAAGTGGTATACAACCTAGGCCGACCCTTCAGTTCCTCTCTGGGAATTTTCAAATAGGATTTAGAGAGAAGTCGTCCTTTTCTTTTTTAAATATTTTATTATTTATTCATGAGAGATACAGAGAGGGAGACAGAGACATAGGCAGTGGGAGAAGCAGGCTCCCTGCAGGGAGTTTGATGCAGGACTTAATCCTAGGAGCCCAGGATCATGACCTGAGCCAAAGGCAGTTGCTCAACCACTAAACCACCCAGGTGTCCCAGAAGTTGTCCTTTTCATGAAGAGATTTCTAAAGCAAAATTCTCCAGGGCAGAAGTTTGCAGTGTCTATAGTAAGATAGAAAGCTGACACAGAGAGGAGCACAGGTTATGATTGGATGGGGAGAGACATGTCCCTGTTTCTGTGACCCTTGAGGTCCATGCCCTTCCTGAGATTTTGCTACACATGTCAGGATTTATTTCTGTTTTGCTCACGGTAGTTAAAATTGGATTTCTGTTACTTGCAACCATAAGAGTTCTTGCTTTCAATAGAGCTTCCTTTTTCCCACTCCAACAAATAGTCTTCTGCCCTGAGAAGCAGGAAAAAAAGTCCTTTTGAAATTATGATTTGAGATTGTCTTTTGGGATCCTCAAAGGCATTGGTGTAAGAAGAAAAATCTCATCTTGTAGTGCCCTCTGCTAACACTACCGGGGAAGTATTGAGGGGGTGAAGGAGAGTTGTGTACACAAACATATATACACACCTGTTAAGCTTTTTTGCCAACACAATAATATTTATCGAAGGTCTATTATATTTCAGGCACTTTTACAAACATCTTCTCTGCATTAGTCCAAGAAAGTAGATTTTCAGACTGTTCCTAATTATAGATGAGATAATACCTTTAAGATAAAAGATGTCAAATATTAGTTTTTCCAAAATGGAAAAGTTATGAACAAAGACTCTCACTTTGTGCTCCTTTCTTTTTTAAATTTTCTATTTCTATTTAATTTAGTTAAAATACAGTGTGTTATTAGTTTCAGGGGTAGAATTTAGTGATTCATCAATTGCATGTAACACCCAGTGCTCATTACATCAAATACCTTCCTTAATATCCATCACTCAATTACCCCATCCTTTCACCCTGTGCATCTATGTCTTCTTCAGGTTTAATCACCATTTAAATGTTTCTTTTGCTTTTATAATGAAAGGTTATACCAAGAAACTTAAAACAAGATTTCTGGTACAAATGCTGTTACAGTTTTACTATTTGAATGACTTGTTTCTAAAGACATTTTGAGAAAGATGATAAAAAAAATGAGCAAAAATCCAAATCAACTATAACTAAATAATGTGACTTGCCTTGAAATTCTAGCTTTATTCATATAAGTTTGTGTCCTCTAAAGAAACGGACTAAAACAAGTCAGCCCAAATCCATATAAACAGACTTAAGTTCAGGAGAGTTGTGGTGCTAAAGGCATTAATTCCACTTTTGATTATTACTTTGAAACATGGGAAATTAGTGTTTGTCCGGTAATTTCTCATGTGTTTTTCCCTCTTGTCTTCTTGGGGGAAATGGTTACAATAGTTTAGAGCTCTCTTCTGAAGAAATTTCCACACTGGCAAAAGTACCAACTCTTCACTTTCATAGTGGGTGGTCTGGCATAGAAATTCCCCAGTGGCTGAGAATCTGGAGCCTGGCTGGGCCTCCCATAAGCTGCAGTATTAAACATTTTTATATGTAATTTAAGATGTGAACTGTAATAATTAAAAATAGGTAATTAGGTTTTTCCCATTAGAAAATTGTAAGGAATTCCCAGCATATTATGTAGAGTTAAGACTATAAGTCTGTTTCATAAATTAAATTTCTTCTTGCTCACTTAAAAAAAAGTAGTATCTTGATTATTGACTTTGCTCTTCCCTTTTTTATCCTGTCTTCTATACCCTTCTAATGTTTTTTCTTAATTATTAAATATACATACATATTTAAATTATAATTCATAAAATGTTTTTATTTTCTAAATAATTCATTTGCTTAGTAAAAGGTTATCAAACACTGTGCCAGGAAAAACAGAGGCTAAGAAGGTAACAATTATTTATTAAGATAAGTGTTTTATATCCAACAGCTCATTAATGATGACAAAAAATCTATGAAATAGGCATTCATTGCCATTTTTCAGATGAAGAAACTGAAATGCCAAGAGATTAATTTGCCGCAAGTCATATAACTAGAAACTGGCAAAACCAAATTTAAATCTGGGATTGTTTGACCTTCAAAAGTTTTTCTCTTGATCACACTATACTATGTTCCTGTTCACCACCCCAAACCAATGTAGAATACTTAACCCAACTCATTCCATGGTGGTTCCAACTTAGGATCAACCACTTCTGAGTAAAGAGGATGTGCTAACTACTATACATGGAATGTTCTCAGGAAGCTTAAAATATATAAGAAGAGATAAATCAGGGACACCTGGGTGGCTCAGTGGTTGAACATCTGCCTTCGGCTTAGGGCATGATACTGAGGCCCTGGGATTGAGGTCTGCATTGGGCTCCCTGCAGGGAGCCTGCTTCTCCCGAAAAAGAAGAAAGAAGAAAGAAGAAGAAGAAGAAGAAGAAGAAGAAGAAGAAGAAGAAGAAGAAGAAGAAGAAGAAGAAGAAAAGAAGAAGAAGAAGAAGAAGGAGAAATAAATCATGTAAGCATAGAACTGAAACCTAAGTCAGAATTCACTAAGTACCTTAAGAGTGCTACAAAGTACCCTGGACTTTCAGAAAAGAGTGAAAATGCTTCTGGCTGAGAGGATTCTTTAAAGCATCTGTCTGAGATTCCTTTTGATTTTGGTCCTGAAAGATGGGCAAGGTATTAATGGAAGTAGAGGGAGAACATTTCAGGCAGAGGGAAAAGTGCTATAAAGACTTAATGGTAGATGTAGGATGAGTTTGGCAGACAGAATAATCCAGTGGGTCAAAGTAGTGGAAAATAAGGATGGAAAGCTAAATTGTGGCTAGAATGTGGCAGATATTGAAAACTAGTCTAGAAAGTTTGAAATTAACTGTGTAGGCACTGAGTAGATGGGAATGAGGTTTTTGAGCAGAATAATGAATAAATAGATGCTACGCTTTAGTAAGTTAATAAAGCAAGGATGTATAGCTAAACTGTAAAGAGAAGTAAACTAAAAGGTATGGTAGAGATAAAGGAAAAGGTAGAGTTGAGAAAGAGAGCCGAAAGACTACATTGGATGAAAGGGTTTAGGGAAAGGACAAATTCAACAAACTTAGTTTTTGAGTTTATGTGATAGATTGAATGATGAGCCCATTACAGAAATAGGGAAATGCCTTTCATTTAAAGACTAGTTTCCTAAGGTGAACAAGAACAAGAATCATGGTAAGTTATATATAGTGAGAAATATAGTTTTTGAATCCCAATATTAGGAAGACCAGATTTTCCTGGTTGAGAATTCACCAACTGACCTGTTCAACCAAGACTAATCTTACTGAGAAGGCAAATTGATGGCAGCCTATTATGGTTGTAAGGCAGCCAAAAGCTTGCCCAAAACTTTTCACTTATTTGTCAACTGTATCAGAAAATCCACATCATTAGATGCTCTAATATGTATTAAATCATCGACAACAAAAGGTCCCTAAATGTTGTTAGACTGTCCAACCTCATCTTTATTAAAAATAGTCAACTTCTGATTGAATAGAGGGAGATTGAAAAAGATTCGCATCTTGGAACACTTCTTGGAAGTCTTGGAAGACTTCGGTAAGGTAACTGGTACAGGCAAGAGGAAGTGGGTACCAAGAAACTTGGAGAGGGGAATTCATGGCCTGTCAATAATTTACTAAAAAATATTTATTAAGGATCTACAAGCATAGAGTATTTTGCTAAGTCCAATGGGAAAAAGTAATGACAAAAACATTGTTTCTATTCTTAAGGAGAGAGCAAAGGATGATGAATTTATCCTACCTCATAATTTTGCCAAAGGCTAATATTTTATGTACAGCTCTAGCAAATAAGTTATGTTTCAAGTTTTCACACTAGAGAATTTAAAACATAGTAGTCTTCAATACTCATTTCTTGAGGACTTTGTCTAATTCGTTAATCTTTCAAAATATATTAGAAATCCTAATGAAGTTGGAGCTGGCTACCGTTTAGCATACTACATTTTTATATGAATAGGAAAAGTAGATCTGTATTTATATATGACAGAAAATATTTTTTTTGATAGAAAATAAATCTAATGCATCATTTCTAGAATGTACTTATTTTATCAACTAAATAGTCTAGGTCTAGAAACACAAATGTTTAGCAACATTTTAATCAGTAAAGTCATTTTTTAAAAAATTCCACAACCTATCACACTTAATAATTCAAAGCTGTGGAGTGTTGTTTATCTGACAGAATTAAAATTCAAAAAGATCAGGCATCTGGGTGGTTCAGTTGGTTAAATGTCTGACTCTTGGTTTCGGCTCATTTCATGATTTCAGAGTTGTGAGATTAAGCCCAAACCAAGTCAGGCTTCACACTCCACAGTAGAGTATGCTGAGATTCTCTCTCCCTGTCCCTCC